AAATAATTTAAATATGAAGGCTCCGAATTAAATATTAATATTTAATTCGGGGCCTTCATATTTAAATTATTTAATTCCTCCTGCGGGAGGAGGCCCGGCCCCCCCCCCCTCCAGGATTTAAAATATTTAAATTATTTAAATTATTTAAATTATTTAATTTATTTAAATTATTTAATTCCCGGGCCCGATTAAATAATTTAAATATGAAGGCCACGATTTAAATATGAATATTTAATTCGGGAGCTTCATATTTAAATTATTTAAATCGGGCCCGGGAATTAAATAATTTAAATAATTTAAATAATTTAAATAATTTAAATCCTGGAGGGGGGGGGGCCGGGCCTCCTCCCGCAGGAGGAATTAAATATTTTATATATGAAGGCCCCGAATTAAATATTCATATTTAATTCGGGGCCTTCATATTTAAATTATTTAATTCTTCCTGCGGGAGGAGGCCCGCCCTCCCCCCTCCAGGATTTAAATTATTTAAATTATTTAAATTATTTAATTCCGGGCCCGAATTACATAATTTAAATATGAAGCTCCCGTTTTAAATTATTTAAATTATTTAAATTATTTAATTCCCGGGCCCGATTTAAATAATTTAAATATGAAGCTCCCGAATTAAATATTCATATTTAAATCGTGGCCTTCATATTTAAATTATTTAAATTATTTAATTCCCGGGCCCGATTTAAATAATTTAAATTTTCGGGGCCTTCATATTTAAATTATTTAATTCCTCCTGCGGGAGGAGGCCCGCCCCCCCCTCCCCCCCCTCCAGGATTTAAATTATTTAAAGTATTTAAATTATTTAATTTATTTAAATTATTTAAATTATTTAAATTATTTAAATTATTTAATTCCCGGGCCCGATTTAAATAATTTAAATATGAAGCTCCAGAATTAAATATTCATATTTAAATCGGGGCCTTCATATTTAATTCAGGCCTGGGACCCCCCCTAGGACCTAAAATAGGGTCTATTTGGAAGTTGGCTCTTGTAAATAAGTATACGTTTTGGGGCCTTTTTTCCTCTTGTGAACACGAGTGCCAGCTTCCAAATAAACCCTATTTAAGCTGCACACCCCCCCCCCCCCCACCCCCCCACCCAGACCCGAACCGCAAACCCAATCCACCAAACCCCAAACCTTAAACTTGTTCTCCTGCGGTCGGCGGCTTGAGCCGGAGGCTCTTAAATTTAGGGTTTAGGGTTTAGGGCTTAAGGTTTAGGGTGGCCCCTAAAGCCCCCCCAAAACACACAGGCCCTAAAGTCTCTACATCAAACTTCATGCCTTGAGCCGGAAGCACCGAAAACACCCAAAGCCATACCCTAAACCCTAAACCCTAAACCCTAAACCCTAAACCCTAAACCCTAAACCCTAAACCCTAAACGGAATCTTGCATCTGCAGAAGCATTTAGAACAGCACTTAAGTCGAGCCTTCCCTACTCATATGAGGGCGGCAGCTGATAAACAGCCCTAAACCCTAAACCCTAAACCCTAAACCCTAAACCCTAAACCCTAAACGAAAAAGACCAAAAACAACCCCCAGGCTGGTGCTACCTGACATGGGACGAGGGGCAAGTCGTCCGCACATACCTAAAGCCCCTACACAAAGCTGTATATAGGACCATAGGACCTGGGGAAGTATAGATAGACCATCTCAAAAAGCCAAAGAACTTGGGCGCGTGGATAAATCAATTTAAAGTGGCCGGAAAGTTCTTTCAGCGGCTCCCATATCAGGTCCGAAGCACATTGAATGCCACTGAATAGATCGACGAAAAGACCAATCAGAAAAAAAGGTCCGCGTCCTACCATAGCGCAGGCTCCAGGCCAACTTTTGCGCCACAGCGATTTGGTCGCGGATGCTGACACCCAGGAACGTAGTGTCGGGGAAGGCTTCCGTCTCCTGTTCTTGCGTCTCCTCCTCTTCAGACTTCAACTCTTTCATATCCTCCTGCTGCGTCATGCGTCTCCTCCTTTTCCGACTGCTCCCCAAAACCGCCAACAAGACCTTGAACCCTGAGCCCTAAAGCTTAAAACCTCAACCTTAAACCCTAAACCCCCCAACCTAAACCCTAAGCCCTAAACCCTAACCCCGAACCCTAAACCCTACACCCCAAACCCCTAAACCCCAAACCCTAAACCCTAGCCCTAAACCCTAAACCCTACCGGGACACGGAGGTCGAGGCGACGCCGGCGGCGGGTCCGTTGGTCACGGCGGCTACCATGTCCTTAGGGTTTAGGGTTCAGGGTTCAGGTTTTAGGGTTTTAGGCTTTAGGGTTTAGGCTTCAGGCTATAGGGTTTAGGGTTTATAGAGGGTTTAGGGTTTGGGGTCTAGGGTTGAGGGTGCATAAGGGTGTGTAGGGTTTAGGGCTTAGGTGGTCGAAGGATTGAAGGGATTTGGGCTTAGGGTTTAGGGTTTAGGGTTTGGGGTTTAGGGTTTAGGGTTTGTCTACGGGCCTCTTTGATTGGGGGTAGGTGGGGGGTACCGAACTTGCGGCTTACAGTATTCTAACCATCCCTACCTGAACCCTAAACCCTAAACCCTAAACCCCTAAACCCCTACTAAACCCCTAAACCCTGAACCCTACATGCCATAAACCTTAAACCCTACCTGAATCCTTGAGTAGACTCTTCAACCCCCACAGCACCCACACTAAACCCTAAAAACTCTAGAAACCCCTAAACTCAAAACCCTAAAAACCCAGAACCCTAAAAAAACAAAGAACCCTAAACCCCCTAAAAACCCTAGACCCTAGAAGCCCTAAACCCCCCCAACCCCAAACCCTAAAACCTTGAAAAACCCCCTGAACCCCCTGACCCTAAATCCTAAACCCTGAAAGCCCTGAAGCCCTAAAAGCAACCTAACCCCCCCCCCTCCCCCCAACAACAATAAAATAAATAACCTAAACCCTGAAAGCCCTAAACACAACAACAACAACAACAACAACAACAACAACAACAACAACAACAACAACAACAACAACAACAACAACAACAACAACAACAACAACAACAACAACGACAACGACAACGACAACGACAACGACAACGACAACGACAACGACAACGACACCGACAACGACAACGACAACGACAACGACAACGACAACGACAACGACAACGACAACGACAACGACAACGACAACGACAACTACAACGACAACGACAACGACAACGACAACGACAACGACAACGACAACGACCAACGACAACGACACGACAACGACAACGGACAACGAGAACTGACAAACGCACAACGACCAACGACAACGACAACTGACAACGACCAACGTACAACGACAACGACAAACGACAACGACAACGACAACGACAACGACATAACGACAACGGACAACGACACGACCTCAACGCAACGACAACGAACAAACGACAACGACAACGACAACGGACAACGCAACGGACAAACGCAACGACCAACGACAACGAGCAACGACAACGACAACGGGACAACGAAAGACAACGTACAACGACAACGACAAACGACAAACGACAACGACAAAACGAAACGACAACGACACAACTGACAACGAAACAACAAACAACAGCAAACAACGACAAACGACAACAAGCAACAACAAACAACAACACACAACAAGCAACAAACAGCAAACAACAAACAACAACAAACAACAAACAACAAACAACACACAACACATACCACACAACACACAACACACAACAAACAACACACAACAAACAACAAACAACAAACAACAAACAAAAAACAACAAACAAAAAACAACACGCAATACACAACAAACAAGAAGCAACCAACAACAAACAACAAACAACAAACAGCAAACAACAAACAGCAAACAACGAACAACAACCACCAAACAACAACAAAATCCAAACAACAACAAACACCAAACAACACCAAACACAAAACAACCAACAAACAAACAACCAACAAACAACCAACAAACAACCAACAAACAACCAACAAACAACCAACAAACAACCAACAAACAACAAACAAAGACAACAACAACAACAACAACAACAACAACAACAAAAAAACAACAACAACAACCAACAAACAAACAACAACAACAACAACAACAACAAACAACAAACAACAACACTGCCCGCGTAGGGCTTAGGGATCTTAGGGCTTCTTAGGGATTAGGCTTAGGCTAGGGATTAGGGTTTAGGGGTTAGGGTTTAGTTTTAGGGCAGAGCCGAGCTGCCGAGAGTCCGGGGTACCGAACAGAGGCCCTTCTGGTCCAGCGCGTTTGGCAAGTTCGGACACCGCCAGCGCCCTCGAGGGGGGGGGGGGGGGGGGCTGGTTTAGGGTTTAGGGTTTAAGGTTTAGGGTTTGGGGTTTGGGGTTTGGGGTTTGGGGTTTGGGGTTTGGGGTTTGGGGGTTTGGGGTTTGGGGTTTGGGGTTTAGGGTTGTTGTTGAAGTTCGCTCCGTTGTTAGCGGCCCTGGGTAAAACGTTAGTTTTGGCACTTCTTGGTGACTTGTTCCGGTTGTCTTGTTGGGGTGGGGAGGGTTGGATATTGCGTCCATGCACAAAACACTGGTATTTACAGCGTTTTCGCCTCTTTGTACGCACAAGGATGTGGAACAAGAAAATCTGTCACAAGCGCCCATGCCTTTCGCGACCAAAACCGTGCTTTCCGTGCTTAACGTCTCTGCGCAACCCCAAGGCCCTAAACTTGAACCCCTGCAAGCCCGTTGCACCCTGAACACTCCAGCCCCCCCAAATAACATGCGAAATGCTGAAAACACTGGCGGGCGTGGCACTTTTCAAGATAAGACCACATTGCAGTCACCTCGTTCCACCCTGAACAGAAACGCGCAAAAGTCGCAAAAACGCATTCCCACAGCAAGCACTGCGAAAGGCTGAAAACACTGGCAGGCGTGGTACTTTTGAGCAACACGCCACCTTATAATCACTCCAAGTCCTGAAAAATGACTTCCCCCTACAAAACCCTCATTTCTTCTCGAACACAGCCCTGCGTGGGTTAAAACCACATTTCCGCGTGCACACGCTCCAGGGCCGCTAACAGCGGCGTGACCTTGTTTACCCTAAACCTAAACCCTAAACCCTAAACCCTAAACCTTAAGAACCCTGAAAATTAAGGCCCTGAATCTTCGGGTAGTTCCATGATCTCGTAGTGTGCCCCTTAAAACGGGAAACCCTAAACCCTAAACCCTAAACCCTAAACCCTAAACCCTAAACCCTAAACCCTAAACCCTTAAACCCTAAACGTTGTATACCCTGCGCAACCCAAGGGCGCATACTTCAGAACCCTTTAAGAGAGGTAAGGGGGTTTGGGGTTTCAGGTTTAGGGTTTAGGGTTTAGTAAGCGACCATGAAAACTACCCGTAGCGTAGAGGCTCAGGCGATTTAGGGTTTAGAGGGTCTCAGGGTTTTATCGGGCTTGGGGATTACTGGGTCTATCGGGTCTATAGGGTTTGTAGGGTTTCCTGGGTTTATCGGGTCTATGTACCGGGTTTGGAGGACTTACTGGGCTTATCAGGTTTGTGGGGCGTTGTAGGGTTTACTGGGTTTACCGGGTTTATCGGATTTACAGGGCTTATGTGGTGGTTTACGGTTTAGCGTTTGGGGTTTGAGGTTTAGGGTTCAGGGGTTGAGGTTTGGGGCTTAGGGTTTTTCGGTTTGCTTTAGGGTGCTTCGTTTAAGGTGAGGGGCCCTAATTCTGGGTCTTGAGACCCTCAAAGAGTTGAACCTGAGTTGCGGTTTAGGGTTCAGGGTTTCGAGTTTAGGGTTCAGGGCTGTTGGGTTTAGCATTTAGAGGGGTTACAGGGTTAAGGGGTATAGGGTTTGGGGTTGTAGGGTTCAGGGTTTCGAGTTTTAGAGCTTAGAGTTGAGGGTTTGGGGTTTAGGGTTTAGGGTTTAGGGTGCAGGGTTTCGTCCGGGCGTCGTCAGTCAGGGTAAGGGATTTTCGGCCAATGGAGGGCTTCCAGCAAGCTCACACTCCCAATCCCAAACCTTCAGCCCTGGCCCAGCAAACCACATCATACCTAAACCCTAAACCCTAACCCTAAACCCTAAACCCTAAACCCGAAACCCTAATTAGCAAAGTCCTCGGCCCCGAACCCCCCTTAACTCCAACCCAAGCCCTAGACCCGGCACCCGAAACCTGAAACCCCGAACCCTAAACCGTAAACCCTAAACCCTAAACCCTAAACCACAAGGGCGTGCCCATGTTCTACAGTAGCGTGGCGATGCACGCGAGCCCAGGCGCGTGAACTGCGAGATCCAGGCGAAGGAGGAGATGATGTTCATGATGTTAATAGCGCAGGCCCTGAGCGCGGATGTGGTGGGGGTTTGGGGGGTTTAGGGTTTGGGGTTTAGGGTTTAGGGTTTCGGGTTTAGGGTCTAGGGTTTAGGGTGCAAGTGTAGGGTTTGAGGGTCTGAGGATTTGAGAAGGTGAGAGGGTTTGAGGGCTTAAGGGCTGCAGGGTTTAGGGCCGCAGGCCCCTAGGCGGCGGGTTTAGGGGATGCGGGGGTCTTGGGGTCTAGGGGTTCTAGGGTTTAGGGTGCACGGCGCAAATTCAGGGTTGAGGGCGCTGGGCTCGGATCTTGGGGTTCGACGGTTTAGGGTTTTGGGGTTTAGGGCTAGGGGGATGAGGGTTTTGGGTTTCCGGGCTGGGGGTTGAGAGATTCAGGAGGGTTTTGGGGGGTTTTGGGTATAAGGTCGCAGGCCCCAAGATGATACTCCGAAACCCTATACGCCCTCAACCCTAAAGCCGAAACTCAAAGCCCTAAACCCTAAAGCCGAAACTCTAAACCCTAAACCTTTTGAGCCCTAAGCCCCAAACCCCCCGACCCCTAAACTCTCAACCGAAGGCCCTAAACCCCAGGGCCTGAAGCGCAAACCCTAGACCCTAAACCCCACGAGTTTAGGGCTCAGGGCTTGGGGTTCAGGGTTTCTAGTTCACGGTTGGGATGGTATGAACAAATTTGAACTTCTATTCCTTAATCATTGAGTTCAAGTACCCTTAAGAATGTAGAATGGGGCTGCATTCAGGGGCTGATCCCGGATTCTGACCACTTCTTCGCCCCATCTTTCTGAAAACTCCTCCCCACTGTAGGTAGAGTGAACCCTAAACCCTAAACCCTAAACGCTAAATCCTAAACCCTAAACCCTAAACCCGAAACCCTAAACCCTAAACCTTGCACCCAACGAACCCTAAACCCCAAACCCCAAACCCTGCAATGCTGAAACCCTAAGCCCAAAGCCCCATCAAAGCATTCACGCCCCAGAGCCCCGAAGACCCAAAAGCCTAAACCGAACCCCAAACCCCAAACCCCAAGCCCTAAACTCTAAAACCCTAAACCCTAAACTCCAAACTGCGTCTGTGTTGCTTGGGCTCGGGGCAGGCGGTCGCGGCAGTGCGGATCTGGAGGAGGGCGCGAACAATGTAGGCAGCCTGGGGAGGTTTAGGGTTTAGGGTTTAGGGTTTAAGGTTTGGGGGTTTAGGGTTCCCCCATTAGGCCCCTTCAAAAACCCAAAAGTGACTCCACTAACCGGGCGGCGGCGTTCGTGACGTCGGCGACGCACTGGGCGATGTCGAAGCCCCGGTTGCGGTTGGCCTTCTATGGTTTAGGGTTTAGGGGTTTTAGGGCTAGGGTTTAGGGTGCAGGGTTTGGGGGTTCAGGGTTTAGGGGTTTAGGGTTTAGGGTTTCGGGTTTAGGGTTTACGGGTGTAGGGCTTAGGGGTTTCGGGTTTAGGGGTTTAGGGCTTAAGGGCTTAGGGTTTAGGTTAGAGTGTAAGGCTTGTAGTAGGGATGAATCTTCACACCTCAATCCCTCAAACCCCTAAAGCCTCCGAGCCCCAAAACCCCATAGGGGTTGAAGGATTTAGGGTTTAGGGTTTAGGGTTTAGGGTTTAGGGTTAAGGCTTAGGCGGAACAAGCCCCTAACCCGAAACCCTGAAGCCTTAAACTAAACTCTAGCCCCTATTGGCAGACCCCTACCTAAACCCTAAGCCCTCACAATCCGCTAGCCCTAAACCCTAAACCCCCAAACCCCTAAACACAAACCCTAAACCCGAAGCCCTAAACCCTAAACCTCCATCACCCCTCGCCTCCTCATGGCCCTTACACAATCCCCTAGCCCTAAGCCCTAAACCCTTAACCCTAGCCCTAAGCCCCGAAGCGAAGCCCCGAAGCCCCGAAGCCCCTAAGCCCCTAAGCCCCTAAGCCCCTAAGCCCCTAAGCCCTTAAGCCTAGGCCCTTAACCCTAAACCCTAAACCCTAAACCCTAAACCCTAAACCCTAAACCCTAAAACCTAAAACCTAAAACCTAAACCTCACCACCCTCGCCTCCTGGTGGCCCTTGATCTTCAGGATCTTCTCGGCCTCGGGCCCCGCGCCGCCCGGGACGAACTGCGCCCACGCCGGTTGCGCGGGGGCCGGGTTCGTGAGGATGCTGATGATGTTCCTTGGAGACGAAAGAACCCTAAACCCTAAACCCTAAACCCTAAACCCTGAACCCTAAACCCTAAACCCTAAACCCTAAACCCTAAACCCTAAACCCTAAACCCTAAACCCTAAACCCTAACCCTAAACCCTTTGTCTACTACAACTCCTAGTAAGGAATATGGACCATAAGGGGCCCGGATTCATGAGGATGCTGATGACGTTCCCGACTTGGGTGGGGGGGGGGGGGGTTCCGAAATTGGGGTTTGGGGTTTGGGGTTTGGGGTTTTTGGGGTCCTGCCTTGGTGGGGCTTCCGGAATTCCGTATTGGGATGTTTCCCCCTATACTAACAGCCCTGAACAAGGATTGTAGCACCCCCTGTTCTAAACTGTTAGCATAAGGGGAACATCCCAACAAGGTACCTTATTGGGGTCTTTATCGTAAGAACCCTAAACCCTAAACCCTAAACCCTAAACCCTAAACCCTAAACTCTAAACCCTAAACCCTAAACCCTACGATTTAGGAGGTCTCTTCTAGGGTCCCACATCTTCTCGAGAACCCCCACTTAGGCAGCCGAGGAGAGGCAGCGCAACAAGGCAGCCTTGAACCGTGAGAGCCTCAAACATACACCAAAAGGTAGACACCAAGAAATTGAAACTTGAACCCGAAACCCTAAACCCTAAACCCTAAGCCCTAAGCCCTAAGCCCTAAACCCTCGACCCTAAACCCTAAACCCGAAACGCCAACAAACAGAATGCTTTTTACCATCCTTTCTGGCGGGGCAAGACTCTTGCCGAAGTCGCAGTCTGCCTTCACCGCAGCTCCCACCGTGGCGATCCTTGCTTGAAGGTTCATGGTACTTCTCAACCAATTAAAACTGTACTTATAACTGTACTTATAACTGTACTTATAACTGTACTTATAAGCCCCTTAAGTACCCTAATAGAGTTATAATTTGGGTTATAAGTACAGCTATAATTGGTTACTAAGTACCATGAACCTCCAAGTGGGGGGTGGGGGGAGGCATTCAGGATTTCCTTAGGGCCGCCCTGGCCCGAAACCCGAACCCGGGTTTCAGGTTTGGGGTTTAGGGTTTCGGGCTTGGGGCAAGTTTAGGGTTTAGGGTTTGTGGTTTAGGGTTTTGGGCTTCGGGCTCTTGGGGAGCCGAACTGCTGTCCCAGCTGTGGTTCAGGTGGGGCTGGAATTTCGGGGATTGGGGGTCTCAGGATTCAGGATTGCAGTTTTTTAGGGTTTGGGGTTTAGGGTTGGCATGTTTCTTCTTCTCCAATTACCCAGACCCCTGGGAGGATCCAAAGAAGTAGAGCCCCCAAATGGTGCCCTACTATTGGGTCAACCCTAAACCCCAAACCCTAAACCCTTAAATCGGTCTACTTTTTGGATCCTCCCAGGGCTCACCCCCACTCTGGTTTAAAACCCGCGCCAATAATGACACACTCATCCTGGCAGTGGCTTTGTTCCTAAGGCTCCAAGTATACAAATAGTACACACATTGGGGTCTAACGTCTGTAAGTAATACCTACTGTGGGCTATTTGGAGCCTCAGGGCTAAGCCTGCGCCTGGATGCTGTGGTTTTTAAGCTCGCTCTCAGTTCTGGGAAAAGCTTGCCAGCCTCAAACCCTAGAAACAGCCCAGTGGCTTGCCACGGCTGGTGGTCGATAAGGCCTAAATCCGAACCAAACCCCAGGAGAACCTAAAGTTATAAGATTCTCAAGGGACATGGGGGGAGGGGGACATGGGAGGGGTACCTACAATACATCCTATCCCGAAAAACACCGACACCCCGACAACCCGACACCCCTAAACCCTAAGCCCTAAGCCCTAAGCCCTACGCCCTATAAACCCTATAAGCCCTACAAACCCTAAAAACCCTACAAACCTTACAAACCCTATAAACCCTACAAACCCTATAAACCCTATCCCTGAACCCTGATTACACTTCAACCCTCACAAACCCTAAGCCCTATAAACCCTCAACCCCATAGGGCCCTATAAACCCTAAAAACCCTATAAACCCTATACCTTCAACCCTCACAAACCCCTAAGCCCTAAACCCTAAACCCTAAACCCTAAACTCCAAACTCCAAACCCTATAAACCCTAAACCCTGAACCCTGAACCCTTCAACCCTCACAAAACCCCTAAGCCCTAAACCCTGAACTGCAAACCCTATAAACCCTACAAGCCCTATAAACCCTATAAACCCCTATAAACCCTATAAACCCTATAAACCCTATGATAAACCCTAAACCCTGAACCCTAAACCTTCAACCCTCACAAAACCCCTAAGCCCCAGCGACTCACCGAAGTTGGCCATCAAGGCCGTGAAGTCGCCGGCGCACAAGGCCCCGGAATTCACGGCCTCCGCAAAAGGGGGGGCTTTCCGAGGCTTCCTTTGGGGGGTTTTGGGGCCATGGCCCCTGTAGCCCTAAACCCTAAACCCTAAACCCTAAACCCTAAACCCTAAACCCTAAACCCTAAACCCTAAACCCTTTGGGGTTTTCGGATCTGGGACTTCGGGTGTTGGATTTTTGCTCCGGGCCGGATGTCAGCACCCCCTTCTTCGGGGCATTTGGGGGCACCTCCCGAAAACACCTTCAGCCCTGCAGTCTCCTAAACCCTCCCCCTTACAGCCTAGACCCTATAGACCCTAAACCCTAAACCCTAAACCCTAAACCCTAAGCCCTAAACCAAAAACTTCAGGCACGATGGTAAGGGACGCCTCGAGGAGAGTGCGGTGAGTCCGCTCTTCGAGTTCAGCGCTACCCTGAGGACAGGCCCTAGAGCAATCCCCTAAACTATTATTTGTTGAAGAACCCCCTCCCCAAAAAACAAAAAAAAGAAACACAATATGTATGTATGAATGTATATATATATACATATGTGTACATATACATATATATATATATATAGCTCCGTACAAAGGGTAATATAGGGGATGTTTATCTCTGATTTTTGTGGATGCTTCAGCAAATAGTAGGAAACCCCCCTATGTAAGCTCATAAGCCCCCAAACCCCAAACCCTAGACCCCAAACCCTACACCTAAACCCCAAACCCTAAACCCCAAAACCTAAACCCCAAACCCTAAACCCCAAACCCTAAACCCCAAACCCCAAACCCTAAACACCCTAGACCCTAAACCCCAAACCCTAAACCCCAAACCCTAAGCCCCAAACCCCAAACCCCAAACCCTAAACCCTAAACCCCAAACCCCAAACCCTAAACCCGAAACCCTAAACCCTCCCCCAAGGTGAAGACAGGAACCAGGCCTGCCCGCAGGCGTTTGCCGCGAAGGACAGGTAGGAGGCGATCCAGGTGATGGAGGTGATGAAGCCTTGCTTAGGGTTTAGGGTTTAGGGTGTAGGGTTCAGGGTTTAGGGTTTAGGGTTCAGGGTTCAGGGTTCAGGGTTCAGGGTTCAGGGTTCAGGGTTCAGGGTTCAGGGTTTAGGGTTTAGGGTTTAGGGTTCAGCAGCTCATGGTCGAGCAATCTCTAGTAGAGGCGCTGCTTCGACTCTAGAGAAAAACCCACCCACCCAGAGAATACCAAAGCATTCAGAAATGTACAGTTTGTTTATATGTTTACAATAAGCCCTGTCCCACAACCTCACTCTGTCCTCATGCCTTTGTTTTCGGGCACGAACAGCAAAAACAAACCTAATTTTGTTAACCCTCATGTTTCTTGCTTTCCCCCACCCCACCCTCGTTCCGGGAACGATGAGCAAACAAAAACAATTTTGAAACCTCGTGTTCTTTGTTTTCGGGCACGCGCAGCAAATAAAAACACCTAATTTTGCTAGCCTCATTTACTTTTTTGGTTTTGGCGGGTGCTCTGATGGGGTGCTGATTGCTTACTTTCTGAGTTTTTTGGTGCTTGACGGCTAACTTGCAGCTTCTGCGATTGAAAGTTCCCCGGTGACAGGGGGGTAAGGGTAGCGGGTAGGGGGGTAGCGGGGAGGGGAGGGGGAGGGGAGGGGGGAGGGGTGGTTTCAGGGGTCGGGGGTGAAGGGGTGCCGGGGGCGTAGTATAGACGGGGGTAGTCGGGGAACCCATGGAGGTAGGCCCTAGGTAGGTTCCCTCAACCCTGAACCCTAACCCTAAACCCTAAACCCTAAACCCTAAACCCAACTCACCAGGTGTGCAGCCGGGGAGCCAGCCACGCTCGCGGCACAGCCGACCGGGCTGTTGTCCGGGCACTCCAAGCCGTTGTAGTCGATGGCCTCAGCTGGCTGGGGGTTAGGACTCTGACTCTGTAGCCCTAAACCCTAAACCCTAAACCCTAAAACCCCTAAACCCCCTAAACCCCTAAACCCCCTAAACCCCAAACCCCTAAACCCCTTAAACCCCCTAAACCCCTAAACCCCTAAACCCCTAAACCCCTAAACCCACCAAACAAAAAAAAACCTAAACCCCTAAACTCTAAATACCCCCAAGCCTTAAGCCTGTAAGGCACCTTGTACAAGAAGACGATGGCTTGGTCGAGATAGGCAGCCGCCTGGATGGCTGGTGACTCGTGGCTGCTTTGGCTATTGTCGATTTGGGGGTTTCCGAGAATAGGGGTTTAGGGTTTAGGGTTTAGGGTTTAGGGTTTAGGGTTTCCGAAAATAGGGGTACGGTCCCTTTCAAGGGGATTCTATTCTATTTGGGGTATAAAAGGGGGTACCCCCGTATTTGGAAATACGCGTTTCTCGGCAGCGTGTTGGGGGCCCTTCTTAGCCCTAAACCCTAGGGTTTAGGGTTTAGGGTTTAGGGTTTAGGGTTTAGGGTTTAGGGTTTAGGGTTTAGGGTTTAGGGTTTAGGGTTTAGGGTTTAGGGACTTGAAGCCCTATCAAACCCCGAGCCCTGTAGCGCAGACCCTTACACAAAACGGCAGATGTGCAGAATTGGAATCTGCGGCGGCTTTGGGAGAATGCCCTCAGGTGCTAGTAGGAATTCGGGCCCTAGCTACTATCCCCCTACATACGTATTTACTCGCGGTTTAGGGAACCCTTCTCCCTAAACCCTAAACCCTAAACCCTAAACCCTAAACCCTAAACCCTAACCCCTAAACCCCAAACCCCAAACCCCAAACCCTACTACAGGGGGTCCTGGACGACGTCGATGACGCACTCAGTGCGGATCCAGGGCAGCTCCTGGAAACGGTGCTTCAGAGGGGCCGAGAAATCTGTTTGGGGTTTAGGGTTTAGGGTTTAGGGTTTAGGGTTTAGGGTTTAGGGTTTAGGGTTTTAGGGTTTTAGGGTTTAGGGCCGAGACATCTTGAAGGGTTGAGGAACCCCCAAACCGGGAGGCTTGTGGGCCTTGCTTCTTTTAGGGCAGTTTTAGGGGTTAGAGGTTTAGGGTTTAGGGTTTAGGGTTTAGGGCTCGGCAGGGGGGGCTTGGTCCTTCTGGCCAGGTGTGCTTCAGAGGGTATCCCTGGTGGAAGAGCATGCGTTCTTCTCAGGTTCGGTGCGCGGTGGATGCCTGCTGAGGAGGTTACATGGACACGAGTCAAACATCTTACGCCGTCCCAGAGATCTGTCTGATAAACCATAAACCCTAAACCCTAAACCCTAAACCCTGGAAGGAGTTTGGTTGAAAGGGACTCCAAACCCTAAACCCTAAACCCTATAGTAGAGGGATCCATGCCCACATTTCCGACTAAGCATCAAGAAGTAGCAGGGCTGGCCGTAGGAATCTTTAGGATCTAGGGTGGCTCGCCTCAACCCTACCCCCCCCCCAAACAAACTATACTCATAAGTCTATGTATATACGCATATACACGTGGTGGCATACATATATGTATATACACACATACATTACATTACCTTACATTACATTACATTACATTGCATTACATTCCATTACATTCCATTACATTCCATTACATTCCATTACATCACATTACATTACATTACATTACATTACATCACATCACATTACATACATACATGCATATATATATATATATATATATATATATATATATGCATACATATATATATATATAGATAGATAGATATCATGTACGTATACACACATATAATCATGGATCGGGAATTCCTGGCTGACTTCTGAACCGCTCCGAAACGTTTAACTGTTGGGCTCCTGAATGTAGTTTCTACAAAAGCACAACAAAAGGCCAAAGTCCCAAGAGCCTAGAACCCTAAATCCCTAGAACCCCAAAACCCTAAAACCCTAAAACCCTAAAACCCTAAAACCCTAAAACCCTAAAACCCTAAAACCCTAAAACCCTAAAACCCTAAAACCCTAAAACCCTAAAACCCTAAAACCCTAAACCCTAAACCCTAAACCCTAAGAGTTGGGGACGTTGGGGCTCCTCCGGCTGGGAGGCGTAGAAGAGGTCGTTGAGGTTGCGCCTAGAGGCAGGTTGCGTTTGGGGTTTAGGGTTTAGGGTTTAGGGTTTAGGGTTTAGGGTTTAGGGTTTAGGGTTTAGGGTTTAGGGTTTAGGGTTTAGGGTTTAGGGTTTCGGGCTGAGGGGCGGGGGTAAGTAGCAGCACTTAGGGAATTGACTCATCCTAGACCCTAAGCCCATCAGGCCTGACATGCGAAACATGAACAACCAGGCTCCCAAGTAGCCTAGCAAAAACCCTAAACCCTAAACCCTAAACCCTAAAGCCTGAACCCTAAACCCTAAACCCTAAACCCTAAACCCTAGCAAACAAAGGAACCCCCTGCGTTGAATGGGTTCAGATCGAGACGAGACGCCAGAACACCTCAGCGAACCCTGTGCCCTAACTCCTAAGCCAGATACATTGGAATTTGGAGGGTTTTGGTTGAAGCATTATCTATGGCTTTACAGGATTGTAGTGCTTCTCGGGTTACTTGGCTTTTCGGATTTCTAGGCTTCAAGGGGCGTGTTTTTTTTTTTTTTTTGGGGGGGGGGGGGGTTAGAGACTCTAGTGAATGAGGGCTTCAACTGCACCTACGGGTTGTGGGTTTTGCCTCAAATACCGAAAACAAAAACCTCGCTCAGCCGCCAAGGGGCATATGCTTGTCGTGCTTCAGACCTGATAGGTGGACCCGACCCAACTGCGTTTAGGGCTTAGGGTTTAGAGTTGAGGGTTTAGAGTTCAGCGTTCAGGCACCTCTCCAATAGGATCTGGGACCTTCCGGGGTTCATAGGGTTCATAGGTATCACAGGTTTCACAGGGTTCATGGGGTTTATGGGGTTTGCAGGCATTTGGGTGGTGGAGGGTGTGTGGGTTGAGGGTCGAGGCCAGGATGTACCGGGGTGTAGGGTTTAGGGTTTATGCATGTCCTTGAGCCGACAGCTATTGTGCTCCTGACAGTGATTTGGTAACCTCAAGGGCCAGAAAGGCTCAGGGTTGAGGAGTTTAAAGGGTTTAGGGCTCAGGGCTACGCTCGACCATAGCTACGAAGCCAGTTAGCTTGCTACTAAGCTCAGTCCGCCTCAAACCTACACATCAAATCCCAAACCCAAAGCGTCACGCGAAGCCCTAAACCCTCACCCCACATCCATCCCTTGAACAAACGCTTTAACCTAAACCTCCGAACTCTCCCTACACCCTAAACCCTAAACCCTCAACCCTAAACCCTCAACCCTAAACCCTAAACCCTAAACCCCAAACCCTACACTCATGGGTTCCCAAACCCTACACTCATGGGTTCCCCTACTACCCCCCTCTATACTACCCCCCCCCCCCCCCCCCCCTAGGTTCTCTCCTTAAACAACCTTAATTAAGCTTAATTATCCCTGAATAGCCTTAATTATGGGGGGAACCTCGGAGGGGCAGTCTAGAGGGGACACCCCAAACCCTAAACCCTGAATCAACAAACCCTAAACCCCAGCCCCAAACCCAAATCCCAAACGCCAAACCCCAAACCCAAAACCCCCTAAACCCCAAACCACAAACCCCAAACCCTAAACCCCAAAACCACACACAACACGCCGAGATGTGCAGCCACGTCGCTCTGCGCTTTGAGGATGACCTGGTCCATTCCCGGAATGTCCTGGTTTAGGGTTTAGGGTTTAGGGTTTAGGGTTCAGGGTTCAGGGTTCAGGGTTCAGGAATGGTTCACCGCCCCAAACCCCAAGCCCTAAACCCAAGACCTATAACCCTGAAACCCTCAAACCTAAACCCTAGACCAGTTTACTGGGAAGGTCCTGGCGCAGAGTTCGGGGATTGGGCGGCTTTCGTGTCTAGTCCGAGATGTTGGAGTTTTGGGGTTAAGGCTGGCTTTAGGGCTTATGTAAGGCTCAGGGTTCAGGACCTTCTCCGTGATTCTAGAAGAAGGCTAGTTTCCATCTACTATAGCACCCGATCCTTAACAAAGAACTCCTTAGATGAGTTGGGGGTGTAAAGGCTTTGGGGTGTAGATGGTCTAGGGAACTTCCCGTTTCGGTCCTTGTTGGTCTTTGGGTGCTGGCATCAGGGTTGGGATGTTCCCCCTTCCCCTATTATAATCCCTATTGAGGATTGTTAGCATAAGGGGGAAGATCCCAACATAACCCTAAACCCTAAACCCTAAACCCTGAACCCTAAACCCTAAACCCTAAACCCTAAACCCTAAACCCTAAACCCTAAACCCTAAACGGCTGAAGAACCCCACGATGCGATTAAGGGCTGAAGGCTTTGGGAGAGGGCTTTGGGCTTCGGGTTTCGGGGCTGGGCATTCTTCCTAGCCTCCAAAGCCCTAAGCCCTAAGCCCTAAACCCTAAACCCTAAACCCTAAACTCCTACATCTTAACCTCTAGGCCCTAGGCCTGAGACTCCCACAATCCCCCACACCCCGAAATCCGCAACCCTACACCCTAAACTCCAAGCCCCAACCTTGCACTCCCACACCCTAAACCCTAAACCCGAGACCCTGAACTCTAACCCGAAACCCTAAACCCGAAACCCTAAACCCGAAGCACTAAACCCTAAACCCCCAGTATGTAGCACCCTTAGACCTGCTTCGAATTCTCCTTCTTCCCGCGGGGGGGGGGGGGGGGGGTGGGTGGTCCTCAGAGTCCTTACGCCAAGTTGAGGCTCAGTAGGGTTTAGGGTTAAGGGTTTAGGGTTTAGGGCTTGGGGCTTGGGGTTTGAGGTTTAGGGTTTAGGGTTCAGGGTTCAGGGTTTAGGGTTTGGGTCTGGTTCAGTTCTTGGTCCTCCCAGTGCGTAACCTCGTCCATCGTGATCATGCCCCTGCGAGTGGCCACCGTTTTTTTCGATCGACGTTGAGGTTTTCAGGGGCCCGAGCATTCTATGCATGCCTTCAACCCCAAAACCCCAAGCCCGAAACCCCCCTAAGAATAACTCCGCGCACCCCAAACGTATACCCCCAAACACATAAAAGGAGAATATGGGGAAAGATTCTTCCGTACCCCTGAATTTCTTGTCAGGGGTATGCCCCAAGGGGTCTTATGCCTTCAACCCCGAAAAGGGAACCCCTTAAGTACCCCTTATATACCCTATACAATCCAAGGGCCCATACTTCAGAACCCTTTGTAGGAGGTATGGGACCATCTTAAGGGCCGGGGCCCGTAACTACCCTTAGAAAACTTTAAACCCTAAACCCTAAACCCTAAACCCCAAACCCTAAACCCTAAACCCTAAACCCTAAACCGTCAACCTCAGACACCTAAGCCTTTCAAACTCCTGCGAGCGCAACTGCTAGGAAGAAATACCCTTAAGCAGGCAGGTATGTAGTTGGCCAAGTAGTTCATTGTATGGTATGGGTACCCTAAACCCTAAACCCTAAACCCTAAACCCTAAACCCTAAACCCTAAACCCTAAAAAAACTTCCCATAGTTCCCTCAACTCCCAAAACCCTCCAGTCATGAACCCCAGGCCCAGAATCCCATACCCAACCCTCACCCGGGGGACGGTCAAAGACCTCAACGCCTGAGGGTTTAGGGTTTAGGGTTTAGGGTTTAGGGTTTAGGGTTTAGGGTTTAGGGTTTAGGGTTTAGGGTTTAGGGCCCACCGGTCCAAGTATGGCTTTCGGGTTTGGGGCTTACGGTAAACCCTTCGAGTTTAGGATTTAGGGTCTAGGCCTTAGTAGGGTTTTGCCCTGACTTAAGCTATCTTCCTTAAGCTGAAAGAGGAAGCTAACATGATGTAAGGAATCTTCCTTAAACAACGATGAGCCCTTAAACTACGATTTGCCTAAGAACCCCCCTCAACAAGATGAAAAATCATCTTGCTTGTAAGGGCAATATGGGGATTACTTATCTGTTATTTGGGAGGGGGGGTACTTAAGCAAATAGAAGCAGACTGTTGCCCAAAGAGCCCAAAACCTCTTAATTAAGCAACATACCTTCAATCATATTAAGGATCCCCATATCGAGGGGGATTGGGCCCTTTGGGTATCTGCAACCTTAAACCCTAAACCCTACACTCTAAACCCTAAACCCTGATGAACCCCGAACCCTAAACCCCAAACCCCAAACCCTAAACCCTGATGAACCCTGAACCCTAAACCCCAAACCCTAAACCTCCACCCGGACACCCGGACAGCTCTCCGCCCAGACACCCTCAGCCCTCATCATGGTTTAGGGTTTAGGGTTTAGGGTTTAGGGTTTGGGGTTTAGGGTTTAGGGTTTATACAGGGCTTAGGGTTTAGGATTTAGGGTTTAGGGTTTAGGGTTTAGGGATGGGCTTCCCTACTACCCTCTCTATGCTACCCCCACTAGGTCCCCCCCTGTGACAACCTCCCGAAGCCTAAGCTAAACCCTAAAGGGTTTAGGGTTTAGGGCTTAGGGCTTAGGGTTTAGGGGAAAGCCAAGTCGCTTCGACGAGAATCCCAGGGCTTGGGGATAGGCAATCCTGCGAGAGAGCAGCCGATTCTCGGGGTTTAGGGTTTAGGGTTTGGGGTTTAGGGTTTAGGGTTTATGGCAGTTTAGGGTTTAGGGTTTAGGGTGTTAAGGTGTAGGGTTCGGGTTCAGGGTTACGGGCCTTGTGCGGTTTTCGGCTAAGGCTCTCGGGGCTGTTACATGGACCCTTTGCCTGGAGCTTCCCTACGTCGCCTGTTTCCCTAAGTCGACTGTTTCCCTAAACCCTAAAGGGCTTCACTATACTGAACTTGGAGCCCTGGCAAACCCTAGGGTTTAGGGTTTAGGGTTCAGGGTTTAGGGTATTTCCAAGTATCCCTAAGTTAAGTAAGAGAGGTCGATTCGTGGGTGACAGAACCCCAAAACCTGAACCTTAAAGGTGTGATTTAGGGGTGGGGTTCAGGCTTTAGGGTTCGGGGTATATGTGCTCTATTGTAGCGCTGAACCCGAACGAACGCTGCTACAACCCTCAAACCCCTCAATGCTCTCAACTCTCACCCCTCATTCTCTAAACCCCTAGAACCTCCCCTTACCTACACCCACAACCGTGAAACCAGAACCCTAAACCCCAAACCCCCCAAAAGGTACCTGCGCAGTTCGCTAAACTAGGGCTCCTAACTTGGGTTGTATAGGGTAGGTAAGGGATATATCAGGGGTCCCCTGTTAAGGGGACCCCTTGCTACGGGACCATGCAACTAACCCTAAACCCTAAACCCCAAACCCTAAACCCTAAACCCGGAAACCCTAAACCCTAAACCCCAAACCCTAAACCAACTCCCAGAAGAGAACTGCCCACTTGCACCCTACGGATGTGGTCTTTGCCACCGCGCCGGCCACCAGCAGAAGGGCGCCACCCGCACCAGCCTCGGCTTTCTTTAGGGTTTAGGGTTTAGGGTTTAGGGTTTAGGGTTTAGGGTTTAGGGTTTTAATTAGGGTTTAGGGTTTAGCGTTTAGCGTTTAGGGTTTAGGGTTTAGGGTTTAGGGTTCCAAATCTGGGCCCTTGATTTGGGTCCCTCAGTTGATATATAAAAAATATATGGTGATTACTCTAAATTCTGGTCCCTTTCGGGTTCCTTCTTACAAGGCGGCCCCTCTTGGGTAGGGTGCCCAAAACGGGACCATAACTTAGAGAAGTGACCAGATCACGGGCCCATACTTCGGATCCCGATTTTAGGGTTTAGGGGTTTAGGGGTTTAGGGGTTTAGGGTTTAGGGTTTAGGGTTTAGGGTTTAGGGTTTAGGGTTTAGGAGTTAGGGTTTAGGGTCCACACTAAGCACCCAGAGTTCCAACCTCCGCGGGTTCAGGGCTGAGGGAATGGGGGTTTGGGCTTCGGACTTCTCAGCCTCCTGTGGCCGAGAGACCGCAAGAGGAGGTTTAGGGTTTAGGGTTAGGGTTTAGGGTTTAGGGTTTAGGGTTTAGGGTTTAGGGTTTAGGGTTTAGGGTTTAGGGTTTAGGGTTTAGGGTTAGGTTTAGGGTTTAGGGTTTAGGGTTTAGGGTTTAGGGTTTAGGGTTTAGGGTTTAGGGTTTAGGGTTTAGGGTTTAGGGTTTAGGGTTTAGGGTTTAGGGTGTAGGGTGCAGGGTGTAGGGTTTAGGGTTTTGAATTTGGGGGATTTAGAGAGCGAGAGGGGGCGGGGGACCCTTTTTGGTTTACAGAGGCTTCTAAGGGGCCCGAAACCCTAAAGAATGAGAATCAGGGCCTGCTCTGGGTCATAGTAAATAAACATAGGGTTCAACCTTGAAACCAATTCTAACGCCCACCCCCTTCAAGTAAAAAGAATCTACTACGTATCACAATCCTACTTTTATACAATGTCCCGAAGACTTTGCGGCTTGGCGAGTATTGATGTTCAGTGGAGGGAGGCTGACAATCAGGCTTCGAGGTACACTTAATGACGTAAGGTTCAGGGTTTCGGGTTTAAAAGGTTCACGGCTTAGAGTTTAGGGCTCCAGGGTTTTGGGTGTAGGGTCCAGGCCCCCCCCCCCCCCCCCCGCCCCCGCGCACCCCCGAAGACCCGACAGTTAAAGCAGCCCGGGGGGCAAAGTACCAGCGGGAGCGCGACAGCCGAGGTGCCTTTCTGCTGTTTCAGGGCTTCGGACAGCCAGCTGGATAAACCCGAAAATCCTAACACCCTCCTAAACCCCAAACACAAAACACACTCAAGCCCTAAAGCCTGAAAACTCTCTAGAAGACCCCTGCCAAGGCGGGAAAGCCGTATAGAAGCGTTTAGAATTTCATGGGACCCCCAAATGAGCGACTTCAGAGAACTCCAAGACCCCGAAAGCTCTAAAGACATACCCTAAACTACTAATTGCTCAAGAACCCCCTCCAAAAAACAAACATAATAATCCGCATATTATATTGCCCTAATGAGGAAAATGTTTTGAAATTGTTCAAGAGCAAATATTTGTAAAGCTCTAAGGCCCTGCCCTAAAACCCTGACACCCTGAAACCCTCAAACCCTGTGGACACCAGAGTTCCCATGGACCAACGACACGAAGCTAAGAGACGATGCTTTGGGGTTGAGGGTTGTGGGTCTCCAAACCCTAGTTAAACCCTAAACCCTAAACCCGGTCGTGGGTTTTGGGTTGAGTCTTGAGGCGCGAAGACACCCAGTCCCTGCAGCTGAGGGCGGCGCAGGCAAACAAACCAAGCTTCTAGAGATCATTAAATAGATCATTAAACCCTAAACCCTCAACCCTAAACAATAAACCCTAAACCTTAAACCGCCCTCGACTCCCCACAAGAAAGGTCGCCCTGAAACCATGAGAGCCCGAACTCCAAACCCCCCAATCCCTAAACCCTGAAACCCTGAAACCCCGAAACCCTGAAACCCTGAAACCCTGAAACCCTGAAACCCTGCAACCCTGAAACCCTAAATCCTAAACCCTAAACCCTAAAACCTAAACCCTAAACCCTAAACCCTAAACCCTAAACCCTAAACCCTAAACCCTGGCCTCCCTATCCCCTCCCCAGCACCTGCACCCTGAGGAGTTGGTCATACTCCACTTCCGAAGGGCCCTGCAAAGGGTGCTTTTTTGTTGGGGTCTGGGACCCGAAGCCCGAAACCTGGAATGTGGGGTTTAGGGTTTAGGATTTCGGGTTTAGGGTTGAGCCCCAAACCCGAACCCAACCCTGAACCCTGTATATACCGAAAGCCTAAACTCTAAACCCTATATAAACCCGAAACCTGTGGTTTCAGAGCGTTCATCGGGAAGCTTGCAGAAAGGTTTGAACTGATGGGACTTGGGCGTGCGGATTTTGGGCTTACGGGATTTGTAGGGTTTGTAGCTACAGGGCCCATACGGCCTTTCTGGTTCTCCCCAGGGGAAAAGGGTTTGGGGATGTTTGTTGTATCGAACTCAGCTGC